ATACAAAATACACGTGAATTCAATTCAAGTATAAGTAAAACACTTTAGATCATGTATTGTATTTTAAACATACTGTATTTTACTTTGGTCATAATTTAGCCACAATCTTTGCTTTTAACTTTTTATCACAACTTTTGCTTCTTAATTATAATGAATAGATCAATAAGAGTTAATAGAATAACAATGTCAATCATTAAAAATAAAATCGTCAACTTTTCTCATCAAATGTTATGGCTAATTTTTTTTTTTTTCACTCACTTTAGGTCACTCTTTCCATTTTCATTCTCCCCTTTGTCTTCACTTTCATCTAATTTTCTTACCGCCATGTTTCGGGATCACATCAACACATTAATGCTATCAAATACATTGGAATGGTTTATTCAAAGGAGCGCTTATTCCCAATTTCTTGCCAACTCTTACTAACAATAAGGAATTTCTAGCCCAAATATATACATTGCTAATCCCACCCCTCCTTCTCCCTCCCTAAAAGAAAAAAAATACTCCCCATTGGTACTAGTAGTAGTATAACAACTATTAAAACTATTAGTGGAAGAAAGATCTGTGATGGTCTTCTATCCCTTATGTAAAGCCCCTGACAGCTACCTCTTTTCCAATAGTGCTCTATATTTCCATCACAATAAATTTTGATTTTATGGGCCACTTACACACCGAATAAGAGTTTTACTAGTAGGAGAAATAATCAACTCTCAAGTACAAGCCTATTCTAAAGCCGAAAATTCATTTTGCATAACTTAGTTTGCAACTCATTATTCCGTAGTAAGCTCACCAAATATCCATGCATGATCAAGGAAACAGAGTTTGGTAAGGGTTGAGGTTATGACCACACATATTTTTGTTATGGTCACGCAATTTTGATAATATTTTATCAATTTGACTATTTAATAGGGTGGTGATAGAAAAACAAATTTTTTGTATCATCTTTCATACAATTTTCATATGTCATTAAATAAATAAATGCATTCAATATTATGAATCTCAAATGAATAAAAAAAAATCAATTATTTAAGTGACACGCAAGATTGTATAAAAATGTGATATAAAAATGTGATATAAAAATGTTATCCTTAAGTTATTTTCCTCTTTAAAATTATTGATAAAACAATTAATATTAATAACTTAACATATTAAAATCAATTTACAAATAAATATTTTTTAATATTATAATTAGTTATTTAAGAAAAAAACTATAAATTAATAAACTATCAGTCAAATAATGTTAAGCACAACATAGATGTGTGGAAAGCAATGTTTAATAAGAAGTCTGATACATTAAAATATGAAAGTGAAGAATATATTGTACTTGCAGAAGATAACATAACGTTAAAGATAGAGCTTTGCGACGTAGGATCCCAACAGCAATAACACTTTTGCTGTATCTATAACCCGGAAAATAACATCAGTGGAACTTAAACCTTTGTGTTCTTGTGGATGAAAACGAGCAGAACAAGCACAACCAGAGGTTTACAAAGATCATAATTAGTAAGTATACCATGCAAACCCTTATGCGGAAATCGATTTTTCAAGACAAATAGAGAGGGGATCCGATGGGTGATATAAACAACACATTGCAAAAGAATATAGAAAACATAATAAAAGGATTTTTATCATTAACCTATTCCCGAAACATTGATACATAGAACGTAGATTATTTGATAATTTTCTCTCATCATGATTTTATACAAAAAGGAAATGTAATTGTACACATCGTGCTACTTACAGTTACATCTTCAGATTCTAAAATCCCGGCCGTTGATTTAACCATTCCCTTGGGGCTATTGCTGACCCTTTGATAGACCACATATATATGATTTGCAATGCTGCTTCAGGATTACAGATAGACTACCAATGGTTTCCCCATGCAATTTCATAGCCCATCAGATAGAAGTGCAGTTTTTAACATATAGACAGTATATACAAATGATCATGCTTCTTGTTCTTCCCATACACTTCATCTGCGCATTAACCAACTAAGCAAGCAAAAATAACTCTATTTCCTAGAAAACGTTGCAAGTGCTCACCTCTAAATGCTGGCCATCTTGAACCATCTTGATAGGCTTGTTCTTCTTGTATAATTTCTTAGAAGCTTTTGGACAGTCCACCCTAACAGAAGTGAGAGAGATCATAATCTTGACCGCCGGTTGCTCTTGACACCAAGGAGAGGTGAATGCCTATGAGCAGAAGTGAATTGCTGCCCCTTTAGAGAACCTGAAAATCTAATATCCCAACCTTCAACATTCTTCGGAACACAAACATCAAAGAGGATTTTTCCAAGAACCCCATGTGCATTGATGCTTGGAGGTTCGGGCAAATGGATTGATGGTTCTCTGTGCTCATCTTGTAGAGGTCCAGACTCTCTACGATTGTGATACTCAGATGAACTTGACACAAAAAAGTGGTCACTAGGGCCAACTGCAACTCTTGTTAGACTTTCATTTGAACTAACTGCTACTTTCTGGAGATCACAGATTACCTCAGATATCTCATCATGCAGACCTGATCTTCGTCCAAGTTGCTGGACTCTATGGGAATAAACTAAAGCTGCTTCTTCCAGAAAGTTAGCCACAGCAGCACGGTACTGGATAGGATAATGCTTGTAATGTTCTGAAATAACAAAGAACATTAGGTCTGTATCAGAACAAGGAAATAGTAAAATTATCAATCTTCAATGTAATTCTTGCTAACATAAGCATGCTTAACTTTTGAGGCATTACTAATCAAATTGATCAATAGCAGAAATCACAAAACTGGATATGCAATTGAAATTGATTGATGGCAGAAATCATAAAACTGGATGTGCAAATACTTCCACTTCCAGTATCTAGAGGTTGTACAACAAATAATAACATATAGAAGCCATACCCTACTTAAAAAAATAACAAAAACAAAGTGGATTTGATACTTACCTACATGAGGAGATCCACTCCATTTTATAACCTTAACATCTCCCCCAATATCTTGTAGGAGTCGAGCAAAATTGCTGATGACAGGATATGGTGCAAGGACATCATTATCTGAGCAAAAAATGAGGAATGGAGCGCCTATTTCCTAGAGAAGAAAAGAATGCCAGATTAACTGATGCAACAGAATCCAAAAGCAACTAAACACTAAAAGCACTACAGAAAATATTGAAACTCACAACTGAGGAGTAAAGTGTCTGCCAATACTCAGCACGTTGAGACTCAAACCTAGTAAGATACAAACCATCCAGACTGGAAGCCACACCTTTAGCAACCCAGGATACAAGTTTAGATGGTCCACGCATTTTCCGAATGGCAGGATGCAAAGCAAATTGAACATTCAGATCACCTCCAAAATCTACTGGACTAGAATCATAAATATGTCCACAAAGACAATTTCTAACCAGCTCACTTTCGTCCTTCACAAAATGTAAAACATAAACAATGAGTCTAAGACTATAGTTTTCAAATTAAGTAAATGTTTAAGAATAAAAATGTGTATTGCTGAAAAGTATAATCATAACCAACATACAACACATACCAAATTAAGCTGACCTTCACCTGTTCCCTGAATAATCTGCATCAAAGATGATTAAATTAATATCAATTGCAAAAGTTGAAATCTGACCCATTTGGAATCAGAAATAAGAGGTAAGCTTTCAGGGAGTTACCTGAAAGGCCTTGTACATGCAAGCTTTAGGCGCACCAGAAAAGGCAATAAACACTACAGGACAAGTTCTAATCTTCAATTCCTGGAAAGAAAATGCCCAAAAGTATTATAATTCGTACATCATTCCATAAAATTAAACTCACTGCCCTGAATCCAATCAAAGCCCATTAAGATTTTTGTCAAATAAAAATTGGGATCTTAAGGAACATTTGAACACTGCAACCTTTAATGAAACTGACCTCCATAAGCTCATTTAGAAGAACAAACGCCAATGACGTTGCCCTCTCCGGATAAAATCTGCAAAGTTAGATTGTAAAATTGTTTAAATACAGAAACAGAAAACTAGGTGATCAAGCAGAGAAAAGGTAATTCTTGAATTTCCTTGTTTTGGATAGCAACCAGATGGTAACCATGCATCACTCTCATTCCCCTCAAATCCCTGTATGCAAGAAATCTTCAAATCTAACCCCACCTCCTTCCCCCCTCAATCCTCATCAACTACAATAAATGCCAGCACTTGATAATTAATTCATCCCTAAACTTATCATTCCCTATTGGGAAAAGAAGCCCTAATCAGACTTCAAGCATCCATTGAAGCCACATATCAACACGCATTCAAGAGTATCCTGGACCACTGAACCACCACTAATCGAAACCACATCACAATTCTCACAAAGCTCAAAAGAACAAAAATGAATGGGG